CATACCCCTTAAAAATGGAGCTTACTGAACTAAGTTATGGTTAACACAACTGGATTCAGGCTGAAGTGAACTCGATCAATTCAAATGTACTTTCCTTAATTGAACTTCAAGAGGTTGGGCCATACTATTTTCATGAAAATTCTTTGGTGGTATCAAAATTAAATACAAAAGTTAATAAAAGCCAGACACACAGAGTCGGCTTTCTAGGCTAGGTTACAACCATTTTTGTATTCTTTTAACTATGATTTTATACAAGGCCTGAGCTAAACAATCTGGGCTTGAATGCAGAATATGTGAGAAAAACTAAAGGGGAGGAAAATCTTGACTTTTTTCTTCTGCCAGAGGTATGAGCTGGTGGTGATAAATTGTTTCGAGTAGCTTTTACATCATCTAAACCTGCTTCATTTGTATCTTAAGCATTCATAACTCTGAGCACTGTAAACCACTAGAAGGGGGGTGAAACCTTGGACAGGAGGGGGGATAGCTATTTCAGAAATTCTCAAAAATGTTATGGGAAATTTCATCTAGAAGATAGATGGTAGTCTACACTAAAAATCTACTAAACCACTGCTTTTACAACTGGGATTGACGTGAATCAAACTAATGTAATAGCACCCTGGCCAAAATGTACTTTGGAATAAGTACTTCTAGTTGCTCAAGGGAATGCAGGTGGAATAACTCACAGACATTTCTCTTTGGCCATTTCTATTTACCAGATTTTTGCTTTGGGATTAAAAACTGACAATTTTCAACTTGCAATGTAATAAAGACTAACACAGGAGAAAGTTATTATTCAGAGTACTAGTCACCATTCCCTCAGACAATGCCACTTTAGAACCCCCTAACCATTTACGTATCCCGTTCTTCCTTGCTGTTGTACTACTGGCTTGACTCCACTGTAATGGTTAACCGAAGTGCTAACAGCACACAGTACTTTCTCATACCAATCTGAGGGAAAGCTTTGTTTGCTGTAGAGTTTTTGTTTTGTTTTTAAAGATATTGTTTATCAGCCCTGGCTGGTGTGGCTCAGTAGATTGAATGCTGACCTGACAATGAAAGGGTTGCTGGTTCAGTTCCCAGTCAGGGCACATGCCTGGGTTGCAGGCCAGGTCCCCAACAGGGGGTGCTGGAGAGGCAACCACACAGTGATGTTTCTCGTCTTTCCCCTTTCTCTAAAAATAATCTTTTTAGATATTGTTTCTCAAGAAAATTTTATTTCTAGCTGTTGTATCATGGATATCGAACTATATCATTTTGTCAGTGATCATGTCTTTTTACTGTCAGTCAGTGTAATTAACTGACAGTAAAACTTCTGGATTTGACCAAACTGTTTAGCCATTTTTACCACAAAAACTGTTAAAACCTACCTAACAATGGGCTACTGAGGATTTAGTTCTTCAGATATTACCAGACAGTTTCCTCTGCAAAGTATGTCCTAATGTATGAAAAAATATATACACATAATTTTACATGTAGATTGGAACTTGGTTTTTATTCCTTATATTTCCATTGTAGGTATCACCATCTTCTCTGTTGGTGTGGCATGGGCACCTCTGGATGACCTGAAAGATATGGCCTCTAAACCAAAGGAGTCACATGCCTTCTTCACGAGAGAGTTCACGGGACTAGAACCAATCGTTTCCGATGTCATCAGGGGCATCTGCAGAGATTTCTTAGAATCCCAGCAATAATGGTGACATTTTGACAACTGAAAGAAAAAGGGAACATTTTCATAATACTGAACACTATAGCGCATATTAGGATCAGATACAAAAGTATTATATTAAAGATGCCAACAGCTGTTTTAAGCAAATAAGCATTCATTTAAAGCTACTAGATTCTAATTACAATTTAGACTTAATTGTTGACTCTGCCGAGGCTTCATAATCATGCCCCTTAGGAACTCAGGAAAAGGGATATATTGTGGGTTAAAACCTTAAAGAGTTCTACTCTGAAAAGCATATTAAATGTTTTGATTTGCAAATTCCATAGCTCAATAAAAGAATGTGATACGTAGACCAAAAGCAACATTCTTTTTTATCATTCTGTATGAAATACATAAGGAAAATGAAAAACTTAAACAGAAAACAGCTTTTAGTTAAAATATAAATTATCTTGACCCAAGGAGATGTTCCCTTAAACCAGTAATAGTTGTTACTTAGTGTATTAAAAAGTCCCAATTACAGATGAAATGGAAGGGAATTAGCTATCAGGCTTTTTTTTTTTTTTGTATTTTCATAGTAAGTTATAATGGAAAGATGACACTAAACAAGATAGCAAGATTGCCTAGTATTTTTCTATTTATATCCTTGATTTTTATGTGTATAGACATATACAACTTGTACTTTAAAAGTTGCCTGTGTGCTAAAAAATGTTAAGTTGGTAAATTTATACTTTAAGCATTTAGCTTTAAGCACGTATTTCGAATAGACTGTAGGAAAAATATTATAGTTTTACTAAGCAATAAAATTGCTAGTGACTGTTTAAGCTGCCTTACCTTTATTTTTCTAAGTGTCTCTTGCCATAGGGCATGGTAAAAATTCTACATTCAATAATTCATGCAAAGACCAACCATATATATTTTTTAAATCATGCAGTAAGATGAAATGCTTTGCTTTCATTCAATTATTGAATGCCTATTGTTCCAGGCATTATACATAGCCACTCACACTACCAGATTAACTAGCGCAAGATGCTTTTGGCTCAACAAAAATGTTTTATAATTGACATTGTATTTACTTAAACGTGCTTGTGAAGTTGGTTCCTAAGAAAAGTGATCAGAATTCCATTAATATAATTATCATTACCTTACCAAGAACTTCCCCTCAGGCAGAGAGGTACCATCCTCCCACCTTGCCTATCTTCTCTAAACTAAGACCTTCCCTTCCCATTGTCCAACTGCGCAACCTCTCTCTCATCACACACTGATTCCACCTCAATGGTTTACAACCAGTTGACCTCAAAACTGTGTTAACTGGCTGGAATGCTATATGTACTTCAGTTAATCTTTGAGTCCAACCATAACCGGCTTTGACACTAAATAAAAAACTTGGTAAATGGAGTATGGGAAGACAGTAAACTGCCCCCGACCCCGCATAAAGAGTGGCAAACATGAGTTTACATAACACAAGATTTCTGTATAACTAAAATGGGTTTAACAACATGATCTCTCCCAATACATAAGGCATAGATTCTCAGCCAAGAGAACCAACTTCTCCTTAAAAATGTAAACTTAAGGGAAAACCTGGCTCTAATCAGGAGCCCTTTTAAAAATGCTTTTTCTTTAATTCTATAAAGGACAAAGTTTTGAGGTATCAAGGGAACTAGGGAAGCTAATACTCTTGCTTAAAGAGCAGCAAGAAGCAGAAATAAATACTTTATCTATTACTATCGATTATTTTAATAAGTAAACATAATGATGATAGAGTGAATGGCAAAGGAGTAAAAAGGATTTTTTAAAAACATGTACTATTCAGGGTGGAGGGGAATGAAGGGGGAAAATAGGACAAGTGTAATAGCATAATCAATAAAATATATTTAAATAAACAAATAAACAAACAAAAAATAAAACATGTACTATTGCCCTGGCCGGTGTCACTCAGTGGATTGAGCGCTGCTGGCCTGTGAACTGAAAGATCGCTGGTTCAATTCCCAGTCAGGGCACATGCCAGGGTGGCAAGCCAGGTTCCCAGGAGAAGGTGTGTGAGAGACAACCAATTTATCTCTTGCACATTGATATCTCTCCCTCTCTTTCCCAATCTCTAAAAGTAAAATCTTTTTAAAAACAAATGTACTATAATCCAACTTTTATAGGCACTCCTACATTTCAAGTATACTAGCACATTTGTAACTTTAAATGTATTAAATGAGACGTTCATTTTCAGTGGGTAACTTATTTTGAAATATGAGAAAAATACATGATAACTAAAATATAAAAAAGGAAACAAATATTTTAAAAGTCAAAAATATTCTTAAACTATAGCTAAAGTACCATTTCCCCTAAGTCCAAATAGAATAACATTGATTTTGTATTTTTAGTCTTTCCCTAAATGTTTAATATTGTAGAGAAAAATACAACCAAAGTAGATAAGAGAAAAAAATATATATATAACTTTTATTTATTCAGTTTTAATACATTCCAAAAGAGGTGAATGTTTATGTATAGAAATGGTCATCACATTTCAGTTAGAAATGCATTGGTTTAGATAACTGCCAGAAATGCTAGTAGCTTTGGAATAGTTTGTTCTTAAATTAGTAAAAAAATTACTATATTGAACCATCAGTTCCAAAATCTAAAAAACTAGTATTTTATTAGAAGTTCTGAGAAGTTTTAACGGTTCATCTGGAAAAGCAAAACTGTCACCTGGTTTTTGAGCTAGATGCCAACACGTCTCACCGTGCACATAGTGAGTGCAGTTTCCTCCTGCAGTGAGCACCGAAATAACATTAAGTTTTCTGATGTTACCTTCTAATTTCATCTGCAATTCCCTTCAAAGAAGAAGGATGATACTACCTTGTTGAAGAAAAAAGTTTTGAGATACTAATACTAAACATGATTTATAAGGACAACCTTTAATTAACAAATAATGCAGTTCATTTTCTGCCGAACTTTTCTGTGGCAACAAGTACGGCTAGATGGTAGTGACAAAACAACGGAGTGAAACTCAGATCTGATAAAGTAACAGGGTGTTTAAGGAAATTATTTAAAACTTCATCTCTGGTGTTCTTTCTTTCTTCTTTTTGTCTTTTTGAAATACCTAACTCATGTCAACAGAAGATTTTATGATCCCCAAGTGGGATAAAATATTTAGCAAGACATTCTTAATAGTGTTAACTGTTGTAATCTTATTAGAGTATCAATAAACAGTATATAATTTAAAAGAACAGCCTAAAAAATGAAGGACTCACGGAAGAAGTCATCTTCGTTTCCTAGTTTAACAGTGGAGAATAAAGTATTGAACTTTATTATTCAACACAAAATAATGTAGCCAACAGTAACATACAGGTACACAATTTAATATTTATTATATGCATTTTATATACATTATTTTTCAACAGCTGTATTTTTGCTATGTGGTACAATCTTAAAAATTTGCTGATTCATAGTTTGTAAAACAAAAACCTTGTTACAAAACTCATCAAAACTCTCTAACTGATCAGAAAAGTTTTTTGGAAGACTAGAAAAAATATTTTATTGTCTTAATCATGCATTACACAAACAAAATCTTTAGTTACACCATAAAATTAAGCACATCTGAAAAAATTAAGCACATCTGAAAAAAATAAAATGGGGATAGCTAGTCCAAACAGCAAATTTCTGCATCCTGATTCAATAATTTTGTATCCCATTTGTAATGCAAATAAAAATTTCCAAGATTATTTTCCACATATTTTTGAACAAAATAATTTTGTTTGGAATCATGGTGAACCAAGATATGTATCTGGGGAATCGCCTTGTATGTAACTTCAACTATAAAATATTCCATTTTTAGTCTATTTTAGACTATTCAAAGAGTTCCAAAATAGATATACAGGTTCCTTTAGCACATTAATAAAAGGATATAAAGAGCAACAAAAAGTGAAATAAATAATAAGCTATTAGCAAGATGGATAATCCTTGATAAATAAACTTGTAAATACAGTAAGATGTACAAAATATCACATAGTGATAGGATGCCAAGATTAGTTAGTTTTTAAAATTTTTAAGAGTTCATTGGAGTGCTAAACCCCACTGTTTCACTTTAATACACTTAATAGTCCTTGGTTTATGAAGACAATTATGTGATGAAGAAGGTGATTAGCATCTATGGAAGGACTTAGCTGAGCTGTATTAGGCAAAAGAAAGAGTGGTTACACGGCAGCGGGTCAGTGAGATCTGTTTTAGGGTTTATACTGCAGAAAAACTTCAGTACAATCTTGAGCACTGTTGTGACAGGCTAAATATATAAAAAGACTTATAAAAACTAGAATTTTATCCAAACATTTTGTGCAACTAATGCTAAAATATTTTAAGTTAAATTTTCTTCTTCTTTTTTAAAGCAAAATAAGTTTAAAAGGGAATCTGTGGCATTCAACTGATTAACAGAAGATCACTAAGAGATGAAAAAAAAACTACTCTTGGAGCTCACTTCCCCCGAACTAGAGCACCACATTCCTAACCCTAAGGCAGCACACAGAGTCCAAAATAAAAGTCCTTTTGTAAGGTCAGACTCCACATTGGCTTAAAGATAACTAGAAAACAGACATATGCTCAGTTTGTATCCAGTACAGGCCACAAATACTGGAGTCCCTTTTTTTTGTCCCACAAAATACAGTAATTACAATTAAATTAATGAACCTGACAGTAAGATGTGACTTCCACCAACTATGCCTGCCCCAAATAGCCTTCACCAGGCAGACCACATGTAGTGTCTTATCAGTAACCTTTCTTGATGGCAGTGATGCAGACCCTCTTTCTGTCCAAGCGAATCTGTTGTTATGATGCGAGTTTCTGCTGATTCACACAAACACTTTGGCAAGGGCATCAGCCCCTGCACTAGCAATATATGCTTTTGATGGATGGAAAGCAACGTCATATATTGATTCATCTAATTTCTTTCTGTGCGCTGTTATTTCTTGAACACATGTCTTGCTGTCCAAATTCCACAACCTAATAGAACAGTCATGGCCTGTAAAAGAACAAATAAAGTATTATCATGTAACAATTCTCCTACTAAGTTTGTGTGTAGTACAGGAAGCTCAGACTTACTTCCAGACATCAAATAGATTCCATTAGGATCTACTGCTAGACTTGTAACAGCATCCAAATGAGCTACCATAGAATGGATCATTTTACCTAAATAAAACATAATAACAGAGAAGATTAATTTTCACAAATGTTTACTAGCTTAAAAGATACTTAACTTTAGAAACTATAAGATAGCATCAACATAAAAGAGACAATCACTACAACAAATTTTTTATTGTGGTAAATATACCGAACAGAAAAATACCATTTTAACCATTTGAGAGGGTAAAATTCAGATGCCTTTAAAATACTGCACATAATGATGTGCACCAATCACCATTATCCAGTTCAGAACATTTTCATCACTGTAAAAGGAAGCCCCGTACCCATTAAACAGTCACTCCCCATTTCTCTCCTCCCCAAGTCCCTGGTAACCACTGATCTGCTTTCTTTCCTTATAGTTGGGACAATTTTGGATGCTTCATACAAATAAAATCATACCACAATACGTGGCTTTATGTGTCTGCCTTCTGTTACTCAGTGTGATGTTTTCAAGGTTCATCCACTATAATAATCATTTAAAGAGAATTTAAATTCAGATACAGAACTTCCCCAGTACTTTTAAATAAAGACATTAGTGTTACATGAATTTGACAGTATGTGATAGACAGTAGAAAACAATGATTATAGGGCTGCATCAAAGACTTAAGATTACATGAACTGGAATTAAAATGAAAACAAAGAATCTTTCTCATTAAGGGATACAAAGATTATTTTATATACAGGCTTAATGATAAATAAATTGCCAGAGAATCCATTCCTACCTATAATAATTCTAGTATCATCAAATTTATTTATCCTTTGAAATGTCAATCATTGTATATATTAGAAACATGAAAAAGAGGATGGAACATTACATCATTATTCCAGATTTCTTTGGAAAGTAACGAAAACATTATTCTGCAAAACATAATTTACTGAATACCTTCCCTGGAGATTTGGCAAGCGAATGGGATTCAAGATCAAGTTGAAATGAAAAACAAGTTGTAAACATGAAGTGCTGCACAAATACTCTGGGACAAGACATTCGTCTCTGCACTGGCAATATATGCTTCTGACAGATGGAAAGCAACACCATGTATGATTTATCCAAGGAGGGAGTAAAATAGCAAATACTGACAATGTAAATGTCCCCTTTCATTCAGCAATGAGTATTACTCCAACACCTAGGCTTCCTAAGGAGACACTGGAGGTCTTCTCGAGAATTCTAGTTACGGTCATTTGCTATACTTATAAGTCTCCTGATGACATTCCACACTGGAATATGAAATATGTCTATTTTTGTTATTTGTCATGGGGCTATAGCTATTAACCTGAATACAAAACCACAACATAAGTAAAAGTTTCACTGAAAATATAAAAAGCCCTATCACTTTCTGGCAATACTAAACACTTATCAGTTGAAGGCAACATTAAAGTTTCTCATCCTTTCAAATCACATTTGTATGTTCCCCATTAATACTAGAATTAACAGAATAATTTGAGATTCTTCTCTGCTATACTGAGGAGAACCAAAAATACAACCAAAGTACAATTGAGGAACAAAAATATCATTTAACATACTATCTTCAATTGCTCAGTCCAACATTATTCACCTACCAATTCTAGAATCCATTCCACTCCATATTCCTTTTTAAAAACAAACAAAAAACCACCCTTAATGTGAAATGGCCCCAGGACAACAATCTCCAAACACTGGGGGTTAGCTAACAAGCATCATTAGCTTCCTTAATGTCAAGTCTATGATGGTAACTCTTAATTCACAATCTAGTTGACTTTTCTCCTAAGAATGACCCTATATGTCCTAAATTTAAGATATCTTAAACCAAAGAATTCTCTTCCCCAAATAGCAGACCTACCCATTTCTTTAAGGGTACAGTAATTTTCCAAGTTTAACTCTAACTCTCCTGCCTGTGCATCCAACTAACCTTTACATATATGTTAAGTCAATTTACAGTCAACCCTTCTTCTCCATAAAGTCACTTCAAAAAGTGAGTGACCCCCTCCCCCTTCAAACTAGGCCACATGCACAGAGGTGACATCCTAAACCAAGTTGGCTGTTGGGCTTCCGCTGGTAACCACACATGTCACAAAGCTTCCGGCTCCTCGCCAGAACTAAGACCTCTCCTTCGGCAACACTTGTATTTCTCGCATTTAACCAATCTGACTTTGGCCCCATGCCTCTGCTACCACCCTTCTTCCTCCACCAAGATTAACTCAATCCTTCTTTAATAGTCACTTGTTCTCCCCTCCCTGGCCCCTTAAGCCCTTTGACTTGGGAAATCTTAATGGGGGCTTCTATGACATGGAGAAGAAACAGACTGATACAAAGCATGTAGACTCTAGAAGCAAACTGCCTGGGTTTGAATCCCAGCCTTGCGATTTTTCCTCTGCTGTACAACACTGCCAAATTATTTAACTTCTTTTAAGTCTTTTACATCCACTGTAAAGTGGAAGTAATAGTGAAACCGTGTGCATTCAAGGGGGGGGCCTCTACAAGTAGGTGTAACTGCTTGTAGGAGGAGTCGGAAATGGGGATACAGAGGAAGGCTGGTGGGGGGGCTGAAACCCAGACTTGGCAGCCACGCTGAGACAGAGAACCACGCGGGTTTGGCTAGGGTGGGGACCCCCACAGCTTTGCCGAGAGAGAACCATGTGGTTTTGGCAGAGTGGAGACCTTTGCAGCTTTGCAAGAGTGAAGACCACGTGGCTCTGGGGTGCACCCTTTGGCCACGTGGCCTAGGAAGCAGGAGAGGCTTTGCCTGGAAGAACGGTGCAAGGACCTTTGTTGGTGGGCCATGAGAAGGTGCCACATGACTTTGGATTAATTGGAGATCCTGCCTGGATGGCAACACAGCTGATGGTGCCGGGAGCCTGAATGACAGACTTCTGCTTCTTTTCCTGAGACACAGCACCCCAGATTAGGGGAGAGGGAGAAGGAAGGACTGTGTGCATCTGTGAGTATCCTAAAGGACTTTAATATTTTAATGAAGCCATTAGGTCACTACTTTAAGTCTGTATAGCTTTAAATAAATATTTCCTTTTCACAAATCTCTGGCATCGAGGGATGTCTTTCCTCTGGCGGCAGACAAGCGAACCTAGTGGGGGTTCTTTCGGTAATAGTATATCATGCCCCCCCTTGGCTCTGTTCTGTAACAATAGTGTTACATACTACTTACAGGGCTACTAGAAGTGCAAACATGTTAATACATGTATATCAAATAGAACGTCTCACTTACAGTAAACAATTTATCATTAAGCTCCAACACAGGACATTTTGTTTTGTTTACCAAGCACTGAGAACTGTGTAAAGGATACGGCAGAGTCAATAAATTCTGTTGAATGAGTTCACAGCCATTTAAAGACCTTCTTCCTCCAACTTCTTCACATTCTTCCCTTGTACTATACCTTTTCTCAGACTCACTAGCTAAGTGTCTCAGCACAGTATATGCAACTGATTTGTGCCTCTACCAACATCAAAAAAAAAAAAAAAATCGTAAGTCCCAAAGATCTCTCCAAAACAAGAAGTATAAATTTTAAATTATTTAAAGTCAAAGATCTAACATATGACTTAAATAATCTTTCTAAACAGAATTTTGTAAGAACCTGCTCAAATATTTTAAGTAGTTTTCATAGTGCATAGCAGAAAACAAAAATTCATTATTCTCTGCCTGATTCTGAAAAGTTCTCAAGTTTTCCTGTTCCAACTTACCTCTTTGGTTTTCCTGTAAAAAAAAAAAAAACAAAAACTCCTGTGTCAAGCAAAGTACCTACCACTAAAGCCTCTGATCAAAATATGTCCTTACCTGAAATTTCCTACTACCTTCTTCACACAAAAAATGTACATTGCTTCAAAGCAAAGCTCAAACCCTCACTCTCTGAAGACTCCTTTATCCAGCAGGGTTCATGTTACTACATGTACGTGTAAGTGTTCACACCCACACACTCTATTTTCCCCAAACAGTAGGTCCCCAGAAAGCAGAAACCACATCTTATACATGACAGTAAGCAGTAAATGAATATAAAATGCTAAATATATTTGTTGTTAAAATCTAAATATTTATTGAACTCATTCATATTATGAGTTCTAAGTTTCAAATAAAAATTCAATATACAAATCCATTTGATAGAATAATATTCTGTTAACAATTTAGCCAACCAAAAATATCAGTTATGGGGATACTCTTATTTATCACATTTCAATGAATCAGCAATTTTTCAAAGGATTTCTTAGAAAACAATATATGTGAACACAATTTACCGTTTAACTTAACTCAGTGTTGTGTGTATGTGCCTGTGTGTGAAAGTGAGAGAGGTTGATTTAAAAAGAATTTTTCCATTGTTTAGAGGCCACTGCTTCAATTTTTTCACACTAAAGATAAGATACTAGACTACTAAAACAGAAATAACTAGACTACAGTAAACAGAAATAACAGAATTGGTAGAATTTATCTGAAAGACTATAGGCTCCTTATTTGTTAAGTAAAATTTTATTAGCACTTTTTTCCTGATTTCTGCCAGCAACACAGCTCTAGAGAAAGACTCATGGTTTACCTTTAATACACCCACTGAAATTCCTGAACCTTCCCTTACAAATGGAAATTTTTAATAGTAAAAAGGAATCTTTTAAGAAATACAGTAAAGGAAATTATCACTGTTCTTGCAGCAGAGGAAAATCTTTAAGCTTCATAAAATGTTCCAAGAATTGTTGATAAGGTGTTAAATTGAAAACATCCATATGAAAATGAATCGGCTTTCTTGTGAAATGCACTGTCCTATGAGCATCCACTCCCTTCTCAACCGTTCTGAGTTAAAAGGCACCTGGTCCATGAAAAGTGTTATTTGAACAAAGAAATTTACGTAAGATTTTAAAGACTAAAAATTACAACCATGTGCTATATAACCTTCAAAGCGAAACCTGTCTTCTGTTTTACTATCTTGCTTGATAATTGCTTGCCCTGCAATAATGTTGCAATTAAGATTTAAGTATCTTGATTGCAAGTCCTCCCATATCCCTGGTTTTACCTTCCCCCCAAACAAGCCTCTCTAGCAGTCAGACCTTCCCTGAGAGAAAGTGAACTGTTTTACGTCATATGAAGGTGATGACAGATGGAATGAGGGACCTTAAAGAAACCCTATGGCCACATTAATGTTTGATTTGGCTTCTAAATAAATGGTAAGTTTTCTGACAAGAACTGCAGGAAAGACAACAATAAAACAATTTCCACTATATCATCACTCCATCCACTGAGAAATAATTAAAAGAACATATTTGAAATGCCAACTACTAGAAAGACACCTCTTCTGCTATACTAAATCACAAAATATGAAGGGAAGAATTTCAAATGGAAAGATTTATATTTAACTGCTATGACATGAAAAATCATAATAGGTAGGCAAGGTATTATTTACATATTGAAGGATAAAACAAGATATATTATGAGTGTACTACATAACTAAAGCAAAAATCTGGGTTAAAAATGGTTTTACTTGGCAATTTTGAAGCCTAAAGTTAATATATCTTATATAAAAAAATACCACTTTTGATCACCTTAAATTTACAGAATTGTTTATATGAAAGAAAATAAGACAACTCACCCGTTTTATTATCAAAAAACTTGATGTGTCTATCTTCATGAGCAGTTATTGTAACAGGAAGCGTGGGATGACTTACTACTCTATTAATGTGATTACTGGATTGTAAATCTGAAAAATAACGGAAGATAATGCACTACAATTCAAACCTTCGGTCAGAAGCTGGATGATGACATTTTAAGTTCTTATAAAAATAAAAATGAAAGAAAGAAAAATAAAAGTTTTGGTTAAAACAAAAAAACCCCTCAGAACTAAAGCTAGGAATCTTGAGAGATAAAATTTCTTAAAAAATAAATGTTTAAGCTATCATGTCATATAATATGCACAGTATTAGGCTCAATATTAGAAAAAGTTTTAAGTGTTTTAATGTAGGTGGTTTAGAATTTTTACAAAACTTACTTTTAATAAACAGCCCATAAAAGAATTATAAGCATTTAAAAATATTCGTAAGTGATAATTAGATGTCTGTAAGGAACAATCTCCATCCTACCCATACTGACAAAAAACAAAGGACATTAAGCAAAAATTAATGTCCTTAGGAATGAGATCTTTTCCTTAGCACAGAGGGAGAACAGAGAAGAATTAAAATGATGGGAAAACATCATTAACATTACTAGACTTTAAGTAAATCAATCATTCCACAGACATAGGAACTCTTAACTGAACATAAACACACTGCAAAAAAATGCCCCCACGTAAGTGTGCGTGTGTGTGTGTGTGTGTAATTATGTGTTAAAGAGGAAGACAGGAACCAAGTGAAAAGACACTGGGAAAAACACTTCTTTGAATATTTATATGTTCTGTACTTCCTGGAGTATTTAAATGTTCTGCACGATAATGTTCTGCACAAAAACACTTCTTTGAGTATTTAAATGTTCTGCACAATAATTTTTTAAAAATCACAAAAAATCAGAAGTAAAATTAAACAAATGAACATAATGATATATCCAATTATAAACACAAATTTGTGGTATAAACACAAATCAACTAGATCAGTGATGTAAAGCACAGTAATTAGACTGCCCATCCCTGGTGGAATATACTCTAAGTACAAAGTATTTTCAGTAATTAAACTACTGGCAGTGGTGTTGGTATTATTATTTTTTCAAACAATTGTATGTGTACTGTGGGATAAATAAAATGAGAGATTCTGATGACTTTGCTGAAAACCAAGAGTTCTGGTATAGTTAAAATGAGGTTAAGACATAAAAAGCAATGAGATGATACTGAATTTGAATTAGAAGTACTTGTGTGAATTTATCAATTTTTAAAAATGTATTTATAGCTCTGTCCACTGAAAAGCCCAGGTCAATGACCAACTCAAGAGCTATGAAAACCATGAGGACCAACTCAATAGCCTAATAGTCTCTAAATGCCATTTTCCACTGAAAGAAACCATGGCTCTTCAGAGAAACAGCTGATTTCAGATCTGGGGCACAAATGAACTAGATGAACCTAGAAATCTATTGACGACTACCAGAGTCGTCTGAAAAGAACTCAGGAGGCAACTTGAATAAACTCCCACTGGCCAAAGATGAAACATCCTGAATAGCAATACAGATAATACCTGCCATAGACTGAAACACATCAAACACATTTATGTCCAAGAGAGATTATGATAATAAAAATTAACAACACCTAACAGACTCACTGGTTATCTACTGAGTCAGCCAGGGAAAACCTCATTATCATTATTATGAAAACTGGTAAATAAAGAGGGGAAAAATCTGTAATTTATCTTGCTTTTCCCTTTATAATCTAACTACAGAATAATTAAATTATTGATGTGGGTTTTTATAAGTATTCTAGCTTTAAAAAAATGGAGAGGTAATAATAGAATTAGAAAATCATTTTTAAACAAGTAGTGAGTTAATGGACCCAAGACTGAAAAGGTAAGAAGATACACAGACAATATTTACTTCTGATAAAGATTCACAAATTACTATAAAGTGGTCTTGCTAAAAGCATTAAAAAACTTTAAAGTGAAGACAAAAACACTGAACCTGATTTGAATAGGGCTCTGAAATATATAACCAAATTACAGGAAATAAAATGAACAGAGGAGCTTGTTAAATGATACCTCAAGTATGTAACTAGCAAAATATAGACTGTGAAAAACTCTACAGTCAAATTGTCCATTTTTTTCAATAAAAAAATGCAAGGGGCCCTGGCTGGTGTAGCTCAGTGGATTGAGCACGGGCCTGCGAACCAGACAATCGCGGTTCGATTCCCAGTCAGGGCACATGCCTAGGTTGCAGACCAGTTCCCTGCAGGCCAGTTCCCAGCAGAGGATGCACGAAAAGCAACCATACATTGATGTTTAAAAAAAAAAAAAATGCAAGGAAGCACAACATAGAAAATATAGTCAATAATGTTGTAATAACTATGTACAGTGCCAGGTGGGAAACTTAAAATACTGGAGGGGGGGACCACTCTGTAGAGTACGACTGTCTAACCACTATGCTGTACGCCTGAAACTAGTACAAAATAGAACTGAATGTAAACTGTAATTAAAAAATAAGTAAGAATTGGGGAAAGTGACTTAAAGCAGAGCGAGAGCTGAGCAAGGAGCACTGTTCCCTCTCTAACCTCTCCCTCAATACAGAGCTACAACTCAAGTGTGCTGCCCCACCCTGATGTGTTCCTAAGGCTCTGCCCCTTACAACATAACAGGTGCACCAAGATAAAAAAATATGGCTCAAATGAAAGAACAGATCGGAACTCCAGAAAAACAACTAAGTGACAAGGAGATAGCCTATCAGATGCAGAGTTCAGAACACTGGTAATCAGGATGTTCAAAGAAATGACAGTATGGCTGCAAAATAAAGGAAGAAGTGAAGGCAATGCAAAATGAAATAAAGAAAAATATACAGGGTAACAACAGTGAGGGAAAGACAGCCAGGACTCAAACCAACAATTTTGAACAAAAGGAAGAAATAAACATTCAACCAGAACAGAATAAAGAAACAATAATTTTTTTTTTAAATGAGGAGAGGCTGAGTAACCTTTAGGACAACTTTAAATTTTCCAACATCTGAATCACAGGGATGCCAGAAGAAGAGAAAAGGCAAGAAACTGAAAATTTATTTGAAAAAATTAATGAAGGAAAACTTCCCCATATGGTGAAGGAAACAGACATACATGTCCAGGAACTTCAAAGAGTTCTCCCAAAGAAGTTGGATCCAAAGAGGAACATACCAAGACGCGTCATATTTAAAAGGTCAAAGATCAAAGATGAGGAATCTTAAAATCACCAAAAGAAAAGAAGAGTTACTTACAAAGGAGTTCCTATAAAACTATTAGCTGATTTCTCAAAAGAAACCTTACAGGCAAGAAGGGACTCAAAAGTATTCCAAGTCATGAAAAGCAAGGACCCATATCCAAGATTGCTCTATTCAGCAAAGTTATCATTTAGAATGGGAGGGCAGATAAAGCGCTTCCCAGATAAGGTCAAGTTAAACGAATTCATCATTACCAATCCCCTTACTACCTGAATGTTAAAGGGTCTTATCTAAGAAAAAGAAGATCAAAACTATGAACAGTAAAATGACAACAAACTGACAACTATCAACAACAGATATGTGAAAAACAAAACCAAAAACAAACTAAGCAAACAACTAAAACAGGAACAGAATCACAGAAATGGCAATCACATGGAGGGTTACCAGTGGGGAGGGGGAGGGGGGAGACTAGAGAAAAAGGTACAGGAAATAAAAAGCATAATTGGTTAAGTACAAAATAGAAAGGGGGAGGTTAAGGGTAGTATAGAAAATGGAGAAGCTAAAGAACTTACATGTATGACACATGGACATGAACTAAGGGGGGGGGGGAGAATGCTGGAGGGAATGGGGTTACTAGGCAGAGTGGGGTAAAGGGGTAAAAAAAACTGGAGCAACTGCATAGCATAGTCAATAAAATATTCTTAAAAAATAAACATTTAAAAATGCAAGGGAAATAAGAAATGGAAGAGAAATCTACAGAAGAGACGTGAAAGACCTATCAGCCAATCATAATGTGAGGCCCTATTTGGACTCCTATTTAAATAAAGCGCAGAACACAAACCATAATCTCTACTTACAACACTGGCCATTTATACATAAATATAGGAGCTGCATTATTTTCACTAGTTCCGTATGTATTTCCTTTAAAAATTTAAAATTATTTCCCTTGCTTTCACCTTTATATTGCTCCATTTACTCCCGTGTCCTCATACCCACCCAACTTTAAAGCCTAATTTGAGGAAATAGCAGAAATAATGTAAATAAGTTCACTTACAACACATTGAAACTGTTTTTCCATCCTAAATTCAGAGAGTCAAAATGTGAAAATTAAAGTACCACCCTCCGTTGTATAAGTTTCAAAGAAACCCATGAAAACTTACCAGAATCCATCTGTGATGAAAGCATCACCAATGACTGTGATGTTTCTAAATCATAAATTACTGTACTACCAGTGTTGAAAGAGGTCACCATATGAGCTGGATCACACCCTATAAAGTCAACCGATGTAGGTATTCCATGCTCTGAAAGGAGCCGAAAGAGAGATGGTGTAAATACAATAATTTAGAAATCTCTGGCTCTCTAATTTGAAAAAAGGAATTCAAATATTATTTTTAAAATTTAAAAATTAATTTGAGAGAGAGAAGTATTAATGTGTCATTACACTTATTTATGAATTCATTGGCTATTCTTGTATGTGGCCTCACTGGGGATGGAACCTGCAACCTTGGTGTATCAGGATGATGCTTTAATCGCCTGCCCAGGCAGGGCTAAAATATTCTTGAAATTATGTTAATAATGAAAAACAGCAATTGTGTTAGGATGGTAAGTGGTAATAAGTAACCTTCCCTCAATTATTAAAAACCTTTTGTAACATTCTATTTAACATTGTAAGAAAAATATAGCTAGAGGGCTCTTAAAGTGAGAATAGATATATGTAAAAGTTACTTTCTACGCATTTTCGTGTAAAAGAGAAAAAAGCCCTGCATCAATCTTGGCCCACTTGAGAATTAAATTTCTTACTGTAAAATGACAAATCAGCATTTCACATCATTGTCTTGGGAGGCTATTTACCTGTCTGAGCCTATTAGCCTTATCAAGTAGCTAATACAAGTCCAAGTCTCAGATCTGTAAAAAGGGAATGTGGACTTTGGCATCAATCACGCAGTACTATCCCCTAAGTGGCCTGAGCAGCAATTTCTCTCTTTATATAATAAATTCAACTGGCCAGATGGATGCACAACTATATAAAGTCTGGAGTCAAGCAATTAATTACTTGAAGTTAGAAACAAATATCTAAATGAATTTTTGTCTCAACTCTTGTGCAATGAAAAAATTAGCAGAATTATTAAGGTAGCTAAGAAAACCAACAAAATTAAGCATAAACTATTCCTCTAAAATGTTCTAAAACCAAACATACTTTTAATAAAAATGTGAGATCTGATTTCTACAACTAACTTAAAAAATGAATTACAAAATAAGACCAATATAAGTATAAAAATATATGTAATATATTGTAACTGGCAAAACTAACAATGAATAAAGCCTTATTTGAAGGAAAAAATCTGAAATTATGCATGTAACTTAAGTTTGTACTTCCTAGTTATGGGTGCTATTTCAACGATTACAGCTAGATTTCTCAACCAGTGTGTTCATATATGGTTTGCAGGTATGCTCAAGATTGTGACCCCTTTGAGCAGGCAGAGAGCCTCATACTGTCCCTCTTAGTAGCCTCACTTGTCTACTCCATTGTTACATAAAAATAGTTTTACTTTTTCAATGGGTCATGTCCTAAAAAACGTAAAAAGAAGCACTGAACTACAGGATATACTTGCAAAGCGTCTTTCTTGTTCATAAAATGACAAAGTAAAAAGATTATCACAGGCTTTAAAATCTTTCAGTATATCTCCTGGAACAGCAAAGAAATAGTAAATCAACTGTTTGTCCTTTCTATCTTTTAAATTTTAAAAACAGTTAGCTTTTCTCATAGAAGCAAAAGTTACTTACCCTTGTTTCCATTGTAAGTGCAAATACATGGCAATTTTTCTTGTGGATTCCATAACCTAACAGTGCCATCTGCTGAACAAGACAGTAACTGATTTTTTATGCCACTATAAGCAAGACCCCAGACAGCATCTGTATGAGCAACTAAAGTGCCAGCTAGAACATTTGGCTCTGGGAAGAAGAAGAAAAAAACAACAATTAGCTAAAATCATTGTAAGTATATAAATATAACTTACCATATAATTAAGCATAAGACTGTACATACCAGCTATAAGAAGGTAAACCAAAGTGTATGCAATAGCCATCTCTTCTAAGTTGTGAAGTTACAGGTCATTTTTAACCCCTTCCCCAATATATTGTTGCATTTTTTTACAATTTTCTGTAAGGAACAATTTTTCTTTAAAAATGGCTTTACTGAGCTACAGTTTCCATCCCATACAATCAGCAATTGAAAGTGTACAATTCAGTGTTTTTTAGTAAATTCACAGAGTTGCGCCACCATCACCATACCAATTCTAGGGCACTTTCATCATTCATTTTCGGCATTCATTAGCCACTTCCTCCCAATTTCTCTCTGCCTTTCCACAGCTCTAGGCAACCCCTAGTCTATTTCAGTTCTACCAGTTTACCTATTCGGGACATTTCACGCAAGTGGCCCTTTTGTGACTGCTCCTTTCATTTGGTATACTAATTCCAAGGTTCATCCATGTTGTAGCATGTATCAGCACCTAATTCCTTTTTATTGTTGAATACTATTCCATGGTATGGATATACTACATTTTATTTATCTATTCATTACCTGATAGATGTGGTGGCTAATAACATTGTGCATCATTTGTCCTACAATCCTTTTGTCTAGTAAACTCTCACTTTACACAGATGTATGTTATCAACTCTGCAATTCTTACAGTTCCCAACCTCTTTGCCTTATGAATAACTGATTATCTTTCATAGTTCACTGAGAAAATATAGCACTGAAATAGAAAGTCCTCCCAATCTATAAACCTAGTGTTGAAAACCATCTTCTCTGTGCAGATATAAGTAAGGAATTGTCTTCTTTCTGAAAAGCTAATTGTATCAGATGTATTCTGGACTCTATTCAACTTATTAATTTGTTTTCATGGTTGACATCTCCCTACTACAAAAGCTCTCCTACTCCTTGGGATCCACAAGCAAACAAGTATGTTTCAGCATCTCTCAACCTAAACAAAAACCTTCATTAACCTTACATCACCCTTCTTCCAAACAGTAGAAAAAGCACAAAGTAATTTACCTCTCATTTACTCTCCAAATCACTCTAATATAGTTTCTTTCTTTTTTTTTTAAAGATTTTATTTATTTATTTTTAGAGAGGAAGGGAAGGAGAGAAGGAGAGAAATATCAATGTATGGTTGCCTCTTGTGTGTCCCCTGCAGGGAACCGGCCCGCAACCCAGGCATGTGCCCTGACTGGGAATGGAACCATGATCGTGTTGTTCGCAGACCTGCACTCAATTCATTGAGCTATGCCAGCCAGGGCCTCTAATGTAGTTTCTGATACCATCACCACAATAACCCTTGCTAAAATCACCAATGATAAACTCTTCTATCAAATTTCATAAAATTTTTTCTTTCATATTCTCATTTGCTTTTCACCCTCAGTGTACGCCTTGATAGGTTACCCAGAGGTCCCTCTACCCTCTGGTTTTAGCCACAGCATCTCTCTCTGTCTGGCCAAGATGTGGGGGACCTATTTTGTCCCATATAAAGAGGAATCTTTCTATCCTCATATCATCAGACCTCTCAGCAACACTTGATTCAGTGTAATCTGCTTCTTTCTTCTCAAAATGGTTTCTTCTTTTGGTACGTTTTAATTAATCCCATACTCTCCTGCACGTCCTCTAACTTTAAAGGTTAGTATGTTCTCTGTTTCCTTTGTTGGCATTCTTGCTGGCTACTCTCCCAATGTCAGAGCTCCTTCTCCTACCCTATACAACACATTCTGTATTATACCATCCATTCTCACATCTTAATATTAATATTAGCTGTATGGTGTTGCCATTTCTTAACATGCCTAAAAAACAAATCTATCATCTTTTATCTTCTCACATCTCTTCTGTCCCCATTTCAATAAAATGCTATCCCATAACTCAATTGTTCATATTAAAAAGTGGTGATGAAAATATTCTGCATTAGAAATTGGTAATGGTTGCACAATCCTTTGAATACAGTAAAAATTACTGAACCGTATACTTCAAAAGGGTAAATTTTATTAATTATGAATTGTATCTCCATAAAGCTATTAAAAAATAAACAACGAAATCAAAGAGTCACTGATCCATTACTTCACCCACTCAATCCAGTTATCAATAGATTCTATTGTTTCCTACCTCCCCAATATGTCTTAAACCCATTTCTCTCCAACTGCTCTGCTACCCATTGCTTTGCCATCACTTCAGTCTCAGCAACATCATCTGTCATCTATTCTACTGGTCCACTACGTTATAACTTTACACTACAACATTAAATTTGTATTCCTCCATCCACTCCTCCCTTTATGTACTTTCAACAGCCAGAGTCACTATTTTAAACACTACATTTACAGGTCACTTCCTGGCTTAAAATTCTTTACGGTAGTCCCACCTTATCCATGAGGGATATACTCCAAGACCCCAGTGGATACTTGAAACCCAGTGGATGTTTGGTACGGATAGTACCAAACTCTATATACATACCTATGATAGTTACTTTATAAATTAGGCATATTAAGAGATTAACAACAATAAAGTGTAGAACAACTATTATAATATATTACAATAAATGATGGGATATAGCCTCTCCCAGCAATCTAGCAGAAATTTCTTTTCTTTTTTTTTTGGTAGGCTGCAGATTTAATAAGCAAGGAAATTTACCTAAAAGGCTTATTTTGAGTGGCAGCAAGACAAGTAGACTCTTAAGTGTATATAGAAACCTTAACTGAGTTCAGTAATGTGTTCAATCCAGTTAGTCTCAACAATGCCTTATTCTTTTAAGGCTACATCCTAAAAAATGGCTCTTAACGTGAAAACAAACAGTAGGCAAAACATAGTTTCTAAGGACAGGGGAGGGGATAGGGTGCCTCTAACTGCCTGGGTCCAGCACAAGCACAGGTTTTTTCCTTCTTTACAATTTCATGGATAGGTGACCTGTTCTTACTAGAGACTTTAGTGCCTGGGTATTTTTCTTCCCCTTTAAGTGAAAAGGTGAAATTTTTTGACCCACTAGGCATATCCAAATTGCCAGCATCAATACTCTTGTGCTTCAGGGCCATTATTTAGTAAAATAAGGGTTATTGGAACATAAGCACTGCCATACCAAGAGTGACCTGATAACCACGGTGGACAGGTAATGTATACAGCGTGGATATGCTGAACAACAACAAAAAAAAATTCATGTCTAGGGCAGGATGGAACAAGATGCTGCTCAATTTCATCATACTACTAGAACAGATGCAATGTAAAACTGGTGAACTGTTTAGTTGAGAAATTTTCCATTTAACATTTTTGGGCTGCGGCTGACCTTGGGTAACTGAAGATGCAGAAAGCACCCTTTTACCCTTTAGATTTTGGGTTTAATGGCACTATTTTAGATAACACCTAAAGAAGATCCTACCTGTTACTGGCTCTCAGAATACTGTATCTTCATAGCACTTATCACAGTTTATAACAGGAGACTCCACCCCCTTGCTTATCTGCTTAATGTCTCTTTTTTAGGCTATATTTTATGTCTCCTTAATTCTGCAGTAGACATTATAACAGGAGACTCCACCCCCTTGCTTATCTGCTTAATGTCTCTTTTTTCATCAGGCTCATTCTTATTTCTTGATGTACTCCTTAACACTAAATCTGGCAAAGTTAGGCACCAAGCATACGTTAAATATGAACAACAAAGAGCTGAAGTTCTTGTTAAATGAACCATCCACTAAGTAGACCACTATTTACCTAATCATTCTCATAATAATATTTTGTTTTAATTTTTTATAATTACAAACAATGCCCTTTAAATATATTTGAATATATGTACAGGTATTGCTGTATGACAGATTCTACAAGTGGCATCTGTAAGTTTTTTTTAAATAAAAAATTTTTTTGTTCTCAAAAAGCTGTGCCAATACACGTCCTTACTGTCCCTATTTGTTTCTGTTGTCTTCTGTTAAATACGTTTGAACTACACACACTATTTAAGTTTAAAAGATTGTTCCTTATATTAAATTTTATTCTATTCTCATAAATAGTACTGAAATGAATCTTAATTAATAATAGGTTTTTAATTTTTAGATGCCACAGAGAAAAAACCAACTTACAGGTTTAAATACTCATAGCATATATCTTAATTGTTCTCTTTAATAAAGCAAATTACTGATAAATGGAATAATTAAACAAGGAAATTAATACGTCATAAAACCAGCTTATAGGTGAGGTATTTACTTTTGCCAGCTCCATTCACTTAAAGAAGCATGTTTTGAACCTTTACTTACCATATGTATCATATGGATCCACATTAGGGCTAGGCATATTCCACCATTGGATGGTTGCATCAATACCACCACTAAAACACTGTTCTCCATTAGAACTAATAGCTAATGATAGAACAGGACCACTATTATAAGAAAGAAGAAAAAAATTACTTATAAAGCTTACAAAGAAATTCACATCCACATCCCCCAACCTCTGAATTTGTGTGGTATCTAAAAACTGTTTAAGGTAAATGTGCACTTGAATAGTACCAATCATATTCTCCTAATACAATGATTAATTAAATAAAATATTATTCTATTCTAATACAAAGCAAACATTATTACAATTTTATAATATTTGTGGGTTGATTAGTAATAGTTAACAGGTGACAGTTAATAGCTGACAGGTGTGGCTCAGCTGGGTGGAGCGTCACCCCATGAACTGAAAGGTCACAGGTCTAATTCTGGTCAGGCAGGGACAGGCCTGGAGTGTGGGTCTGCTCCCCAGCTGGGGTGCGTGCAAGAGGCGATTGATTGGTGTTTCTCTCTCACATTGATGTTTTTCTTCCTCTTTGTTTCTCCCTCCCTTTCCCTCTCTTTAAAAGCAATGAAAAACATCCTTGGGTGAGAATTTTAAAAAAAATTAATAGTTAACAATAACTATCTTGTTAATTAAGTTCTAATTCAATAAAACTTACCTGTGGGCCCTGAATGTATAGATAGGCTCCACATCTAAAGAGGCACTCCTGAAAGAGAGGGGAAAAAAGAGTGGAGGAAAAGAAGGCAATTAAATAACTATAAACCACTGTTTGATATTCAAGAGGCATTAGTTAAGACTGGCAAATCTGGAGAAAAAAAAAACACCACAGGCTGACATTAAAACACTTACTTTTTGGCAGGAACTGTTTTTTGCAAGTTCCAAAGTTTCAGAGTATGGTCCTCAGAGGCAGTAACCAGCACAGGTTCTACAGGATGAAAAGCTAGTGCCCGGACCCCATCAAAATGGCTACGTAGTGTATACTTGGGGTTCCACGTCTTTCGAAAGGCATCTTTATTGGCAGGCAACTAAAAAGAAAGAACACAATAGTGATAAAAGTAGTAAATTGATAGGCATGTAGAATGTTTGTTTTGGTGTGTTTAAAACATATATTTAAAACTGCTTCACTAAAATGTTCAGTACAAATTTCATGTACCTTAAAAACTTTATAATAAATCTTCATTTAATAAAAACTAAGAATAATAATTTCATTAGCTTTCAAATACTTAGACCAAATGGAGTCCCTTAATCTGTTTTACCTAATTATTAAGTTACACCCAAAAGTCCCATTAAATGTCAGAAGAGAATAGCAAAAAACACTACCATGCTGCAATACCTTACACGAAAACATTATTATATAAATTACCATCCTAAATCCAAGGGTACAATATTAATAATACAGATGTCATTTAGAAAATTAGCAATGTGAAGTTATTAAAGATACTTTCCAAAAGTGTGAACTAAAGACACTTTAAAAATATTTTCATTATTATTGTTATTGATAAGAGGTTAATTTTTAAATCTTTATTCCTCCATCTGTAAAAACGAACTGTGAAACCTCTTCCAAAATAGTCCATAAGTAGTTCCTTATGTACTTTAAAAATATTAATAATAATAATCCAGCCCACTAAGGCTGATGTCTCTAAAAAGCAAGTTAACATTAGAATGAATTTGTTTAAAAAAAAATGAAAATATTAATTTGCTAAAAAACTGCAACTTCATTAATGCACAATCTAAACAAGTATAGTTAACTCTCAATTGAGTGTTTGTTGTCTATGAAGCTTAATCCAAAACTAGTTTTACCCTCGAACACTGTCCTGCCCATCTCCTCCCATCCTCTCTCCATGTCTCAAATGAAGGACTAAAAATCAGGAAATGGCAACAAACTAACATTATCCTTAAGAAAATTAAAGTTCAAAAACAAAATATGTTTTTTTAAAGAAGTTCCTGAAGGCAAATAAGTGATTCAGGTTATCTATTTTTCTCTTAACACCAAAATATGGTTTGAGTAAATAATTGAGAGTTGACTACTCAAGATATTTATTGACCAGTATTTTAAAGTAATCAATCATCCCAAACTCCTAACTAATCCACCACAATGCCTAAGAAAACTTTAAATACCGCAAAGAAACTAGTTATAAAAGAAAACTACATGTCACTTCAAATCAAGATATTGACACACTTAAACTTATCTTTTTTCCATGCACCTTGACATTAATTGTTTTATAAGTGTTTCCAAAAATAAGGAGCCTTCTATTAAATCATTAAAAAATTAAAAATAAAACTGCACTTACATCATAACTATAGTCTGCATCATTTGTTACCGTCAAGTCTGCAAGGTCTCCAAGGCCCAGTACACTTAACAAAACATCATCAGAACCCATAATAAATGATTTGCCTCCTCCAGATGGAAACGTTATTGGTTCAGCTATAAAGAACAAAACCGCTTCTTAAATGCTGAAAAATCATACAGTACAAGACAATATTGTGGGGGAAATGTAAGCACTTAACAGTTATAATACAGTAATATAATTTTTATTTCCCACTTCCCTCATTTCTTCCACTCAAAAAAATCCTATTACCTAATAATAAATAAATTTATTTAAAAACTGCAACATAATCTTCCACAAATAAATGTATGGTAAATCTATCATTCCAGGGTGAGAGATGGGGCACAAAGCGTTGTCTATTTAAATCACTTATCACTTTGGTACAATTATAAGTAGAGTATTTTTTAAATGTTATAAATTGTTGAGAAGTCTTTTTGCTTTGCATCATATTAGCTTAGAAGTGCTACGTATTCTAGTCCACGGTAAAAATTAATATAAACATTCAAATTAAATGGTCTCTATCTGTATACAGTGTATTTCATTTCATTTCATTTAAATGAAGGCTTAAATTGCTCAGATTCCTCCAGTAACAGCAAATGGGCTAGAAAGAGGGCAGTTCTACAACCAACAATGTCAATTTCCTTTCTTTAAAGGTTAATCCATGTGATATTTAGAATGCCTTCCAGTTTCCAAGCTTTAATTTTAACTGTTTTAACTTTCCTTTTATTTACATACTTATAAAGTACACAAGTCACTGTTACAAAATAACTCAACATACCAAAACACTTAAAAAGGAAACATTTTATTAAAAAATCAAGCTAATTATCCATTTTCAAAAATTCCTATGAATAATGATATAAACTTTATACACTAAAGCAAATAAAAACAGGAATAATGAAATTTGTCAGTCATCATTAATACTACTGAAAATAATTGAGAAGACACTATAGAAGTCAACTTTTCCTAGATATATACTGCAAAAATAAATTTCACCTATATTTAGAATATCTTAATTTATTATTTTTAAAGTAAGCTATAGTATCAAAATACACTACATAATTTGACTCAAATCAGGTCCTACACAGCACTGCTAAAATGAAGCTGTGAGTCAGCAAGCGATCTAGAGTAAATCTGATAGAAAATATACATAAGGATACTAGTAGTATTTAATCTTTCCAATGATTACTGAATCTGAGTATGTGTAGCACTGATCCTTCCTACCAATATCTAGTAGGCAATAACTGGTAATACCAAAGCATCTAAGAACAAGAAAATCAATCACTTGAAATTATGTTTAAGAACAATTATATAAAATTCTTTGATAATATCCATTATAAGCATTTTTAGCAAGTATAAGGACATATTTTTCTTTTAAATCCATAATTTGTTTATAAGGCAAGTTAGCACAAAATGCCACAATTCCTCCCACTCACAATTTTACACTCAGTAACAAAAATCTTGATAAGAACCTAATAAAATAACTTTAACATAGTAACAAATTATTTTGCATTATTACATATCCCTTTAACAGAGATATTTCTGATCAGCTGTTGATCAATTTAGGGGCATGTGAAGGAAAGTGCCTGAGCTATATATGGGCTAGTTTTATTGGAGTATAAGGTTTAACTGCATTAAGCAAGAAGTTAGTATTTATACTCATTTCTAATTAGTTATATGACTACATTTCTCTATATATACATACATGTATTTATATATAGCAAGCTATGCTGCTTCCCTTAGTACTCATTAAACATATATATGAAAAAAACCTTTTAAGGTACATTTTGACTTTCCATAATCACCCATCACCACTGTGGATGTGATAATCACAGTAAATAATCAATTTATGTGCCCTGTTTCCTTGTTGAGATAATTAATTTGTATTCTATAAATTCATTTTATTGTTAATATAATCACTTATAGTAATTATCTTACATAATCATAAAAATATTAGCAATTCAATAAAAATAAAATTACTATAAGAAGTTTTTAATGATGAAAATTATGACACTTTAGTAACAGCCTAAGAGGTTTCATCAAGCAATTAAAAAATACTATTATCATACTTCAGGGTCTATAAAATGGGATCTTACAACAAGGTCCTTTTTGTACTTTTGTAATAAATCCTCCTTTTATAAAAATATATTTTTTAAAGATTTTATTTATTTATCTTTAGAGAGGAAGGGAAGGAGAGAGGGAGAGAAACACCAATGTATAGTTGCCTCTCGTGAGTCCCCTGCTGGGAACTGGCCTGCAACCCAGGCATGTGCCCTGACTGGGAATTGAACTGTGGTTGCTTGATTCCCAGGCCCGCGCCCAATCCACTGAGCTATACCAGCCAGGGCAAATCCTCCTTTTTATGGACACTAATGACCAATGTAACCCTGTAGTTTACATATCGAACTCTTCTCCAATCTAGAGAACACAGCCCAATAACTGGTGCCAATTTATACCAGTGTCGACATGGTATTATCTTAAGCCTTTGCTAAAAATAGCCTGAAAGACTGTAATGCAGAACTTTCTCTCTTTTAAAACATATATTTTTCTTTATGAAATGAGGTATGACATTGACTGCAATAAGAAACTGTGAAGGTTCCACTAAAGCAAGAGATTATGAACTCTAATATCCCTTAGCTCTACAAAGAAGTAGAATTTGCATCTTTTAAAATATATTCTAAAATTTATCGGTAAGTGCAATGAGTTTTGTGCTGATCTCCCCATCTCTACTTCCTTCCACCATTACGAGTTAGATCACTGACTTACATCCCTAAAAAGCACACACACATCAATCAGCACACAGGGCTCTAAAATGATTTAAGTATAAAATCTGCAGTTGTAAATGTACAACACAAACTACAAAAATTTCAGCATGTTTGCCTCTACATTATTTGGTAAAACAGACCAAAAGCTGAAGAAGCTAAACCACCTGAAATTCATAATATAAAATAATAGAGTTGATACGTGCATTTTAGAAAATACTTCCAGATGTAAAACAGTAAACTACATCAACAGTAGAAAAGAGATATGGAAAAATCAAGAGACTGTCTTTACTTTTCATGCTTTAATGTTTGATTATTTCTCACTATACTCTGTGATTTTCATAACTGAAATGCAGATATTGATAAGGGGAAAAGGCAAAATTATTTAACTTTACCTGTAAGAAAAATGTGCTACTAGAGAATTCTAAAGAGAACAGGATATATTAAATAATTTTTGATTGGTGCATCAAACAAATTTACATAGCAAAAGCAGGAACATCAATGAAATTCAACCTGTGTGTCAAACTGTTACATAATGAATTATCTTAAAAATATCTTATATATCACAAAAAAGCCTTTGGTAAGAATTCAGTCTCATTACTTAGAATTCTAACTATCTGGACCTAGAACTATAAATTACTGAAGTATGCCTATTTATCTCCAGCTAAAGTCAATTTTGGAAAAAATAAGCCTAAGTAGTATTTTAATTTCCTACACATTTCTCATTTCATTACCAAGTAGTATATACATGGTAGCAAGTTAAAGAATAATGATGCTTCCTTATTCTAACTTTAAATCTGTGATTTTCCTGTTACTAAATCTGTAATCTAAAGTTAGATTTCTGAGATGTACTCTGAATTGACCTCTGTGATAGAAACAATTTTCTCTAATATTAAAAACAGAAACAAAACATAAAAACATAAAAAGCCAAAAATTTCAAAAATCCCTAAGACAATTTAATTACATAATGACCTTTCCCAACATATTATCTGAGTATCATTTAAGAGGACCTTCAGCACTTTAAAAGACTTGCAAATTTACAATATTAAGGAAATTTGACTTGGAATTAAGGTCGTCTGCAATGTGAATAAAATGACAGCCAAATTTTGTTCATTCTAGTAGAGGATGACCTAGACTGACTAATGATCCTGAAAGGAGGTGGGGCAGGTCAGCTATGATGTCATGGAGTGTTGTCCTGTTGACCCCTGTATATTAATGTCAGCAGTAGGGGTTCACTTAATGGCTACCCTTTGACTTGCTCGCTCAAGTAAATTGGTTACTGAAACCAATTTACTAACAACACAAGATTTTAAAGAAGTTCCACTTACAAAGATGTCAGATAATTGAAGATGTCTTCAATTTTCCATGTCATCCCTCAAAATACTACAATGACTTAAGTATTTAAAATATTCACTATTTCTGTGAATATATAAATATGTTTACATATCTCCACTGCTTTTATATACACAGAATTGAACCTTCTATCATTCAACCAAAGTTCTGTAAGCTCACAGATATAGAAGGTACCATTAAAACACTAAGAAATTTTGGTGTTAAGGTTAATATTTAATAGTAAAGGATAAAATTTGAGGTTTTTCCAAATTAATTCACTACTTTGAAAAGTTAACAAAGAAGTAAGTACAAGTGATTTTTTCATAATGGTGCAATAACGATGAACTTTCCCTGGTGTTTATGTGGATATTTTCCTACCACATTCACACAGATCTGTCATTAACAAACCAACTAAGTTATTCTCAAAATGATTTTTCACTCCTCCCAAATCTGAAAAACCTGATTCACTCATAATAGTTTGAAAAGCACAGGCCATAAACTAAAAAGGGAGAATTTCAGTTGCTGTCTGGATTTCAGGCCAAAGTAGAAAACCTAAAAAGCACCTGCAGTATTGTGGGGTTGCTTTAACTTTGAACTGCAGAAATGACAAGAGCCCATCTGTCTTATGTATTTTGAAAGAGTTCTAAGAATGTCAGAAAAAAATATGACAAAAGAAAATGCTGTATAGTCAATATAAAGTAAAAACAATTAAACTAGGACAGTCTAAGGTAACACATATGAGGTAAATATGTGACATGAGGTAAATATGAATTACATGTATTTACTTGTGTCAACATTAATGGACTAATTAGACTGCTATGTAATCAATAATTTTCTAAAATAATTATAATGGTATTATTTGAGGATTTTCCCTCTGACAATGGAGTAACTGTAAACAAGTTCTCTAATAAAAAAACTCCCAACTGAATGTCTAACCATCAGTTAAATTCAACATGAAAGAAAATAAACGCTATCCTCTCTCACAAAATAGCTCTCCTTTATAACTT